ACGTATGAGAGTCAAGTTTGCAACTTTTAGCCACCTCAGGGTGTGAGATTCAGAACCTCAACAGTGAGCTGTGTTCATGTGAAACAATGACAATCTTTACTCTCGCCTGGGTGTGCATATGAGAGTTACAATCTCACTTGTGTGCAGGGCCCTGCTAGAACAATCTCCGTACCACTCGGTGGCTTTATACAATACACGAGAGTCAAAATTTGCTCTGAAATTTTCATGTTAGAGGGACCTTTGATTGTACCTGTGGCCCTAAGCCCAGGTGTGAAAGTCAACATCTTATTGATCGTGTCCAGATAGGAGAGTTTTCATCTGCCTAAAAGCTGTGTTTAAACATGAGTAACCATTCCATTTGTGGCTTGATGTTGAGGTATGACTGTCACAATTTAAGCTGTAGACTGCATTTGCATGAGAGATTCAAAACATCACCTGTAGGCTCTGTCAATGTGAGAGGGTGGGTGAGAGTAGTAACTTTCTATAAGCTTCTTAGAAAGAGGAGACACAGGGCCTTACTCATTTTTGTAAGCCTAAATATGAGAGTCTCTCTTCTGTTGGCTGGTTCAACACACAAGATATGCTAGTCATTATTGTACCTGTGAGCTGAACCAAGGTATATGTCACAATGCCACCTCTCAGTAGGAACAAGCAGGAGAGACACAGCACCTAGGCACTAGGCCATGGATATGTCACAGTCTGTTATGAAAGCAGAGACCAGGTTGAAGGGTCACATCATTAGCATGCTTAGCCAAGAATATTTAAAAATCTCCTCCTGAAAGCAATACAACAGGAACAAAGTCAGCTCACCTGGGTGTTGGGCCCAGCAGTATGTCACAATGCTCTCTGTGGGACAATCCAAGGCAGGAGAGACACATCAACAGGTTGCTGGGTGCAGAAATATGTCACAATTTTTCTTGTTGGCAAAGTTCAGGCAGAAAATGTATCACAACTCTGAGGTGATGGATGCAGACATATGTCACAGGCTCGCTGCAGGCAGGGCTCAGGCAGGAGCCTCACATCCCTAGGTTCTGGGCCTGTGATGATCATAACTGAATATGGCCACAGTTCCCATGGTGACTCATTGATGGACTCAGATCACAGGAACGGTGATAACTCTCATACCTGGATCCAGCCAATAAGAGAGATGTTCAATCTCGTTCCTGATTCTAGGGAATGAGTAAGATTGTGAATCCATACAGGCATGAAGGTCTCAGAGCAGATAGTGACTCTCAGGTGTACATTTTAAAGCCCTTTAGCTGCACAGTGTGTCATGATAGGGCCCAACACAGCAATGAGACTGTGACTCTTGTATCCTCACCCAGCTGAAAATAAGAATTGTCACGCTCCCACTTGAATACAGCACACTAAATCTCATAGCTACAGGCAGTCAAAATTTGGAATTGTGTCTCAGACAAGAATCCAGTCCATATAAGGATTAATATAAAAACTATACAGACCAGGCATGGTGGCACACAGCTGTAATCCCAGCAGTTTGGGGGGCTGAGGTGGATGAATCACAAGGTCAAGAATTCGAGACCGTCCTGGCCAAAATGGTGAAACCGCATCTCTACTAAAAATACAAAAATTAGGCTGGGCGTAGTGGCTCACGCCTGTAATCTAAGCACTTTGGAGGCCAAGGTGGGCGAATCACCTGAGGTCGGGAGTTCAAGACCAGCCTGACCAACATGGTGAAACCCTGTCTTTAAATTAAAAAATAGCCGGGCGCGGTGGCTCACGCCTGTAATCCCAGCACTTTGGGAGGCCGAGGCAGGTGGATCACAAGGTCAAGAGATCGAGACCATCCTGGTCAACATGGTGAAACCCCGTCTCTACTAAAAATACAAAAAATCAGCTGGGCATGGTGGCACGTGCCTGTAATCCCAGCTACTTAGGAGGCTGAGGCAGGAGAATTGCCTGAACCCAGGAGGCGGAGGCTGCGGTGAGCCAAGATCGCGCCATTGCACTCCAGCCTAGGTAACGAGAGCGAAACTCTGTCCCCAAAAAAAAAAAAATTAAAAAATTAAAAATAAAATTTAAAAAACCCAACTATTAAAAATGAGAAAAAGGCTTACATATTTTTCAAAAAAAGACATACATGTGGCCAATAGATCATTCAAAAAATGGTCACTGTCTATTATCAGGGAAAGGGAAGCAAAAAAAAAAAATAGGCGATATCACTTCTGTTAGAATGACACTAATTAAGAAGAAACAAGTGTTGGTTGAAATGTGAATTTAAAAAATTGCTTGCACACTATTGGTTTGAGTGTATATTGATTTTATTTATGCTTGTATAAATTTTATAATGACCATAAAAATGTTGTAGTCAATAACAATTTAATTGTACATTTTAGAATAACTAAGACTGCAGAATTGAATTTTTTGTAATGAAAAACATAAAAGCCAGAGGTTATAAGTACTTTCTTTACCCTAATGTGATTACTACAAATTGTACAGTATAATTGTATACTATAAATTATATAATTGTATACTATAATTTTATAGTATACAATTTATAGCATACTATAAATGTATACTATAAATTGTATAACTATCAAAATATACCATATATGGCATAAATAGATACACATATTATGTACACACAAAAACTGAGAAAAATAAATTTAAATGTAAAAGAAAAAAATTAACCTACAGGAACCATATTTAACTTCTTTGCCACTGGCAAAGAATACTAGAGACGTTAAAATGTAGTTTTATCACATAAAAGTACAATTACTAAAATGACATACTAATTAATTTTGATTCAATTTTAAATATAATTAAGGATGATTCTTTTCTTATAATAATGCATTAGATTACTTGGTGTTGAGTGCAGTGGCTCACACTTGTAAACCCAGCACTTTGGGAGGCTGAGGTGGGTAGATCACTTGAGGTCAGGAGATCAAGACCAACATGATGAAACCTTGTCTTACGAAAATACAAAAATTAGCTGGACATGGTAGTAGGCACCTGTAATCTCAGCTATTGGGAGGCTGAGACAGGAGAATGACTTGAACTTGGAAAAAGGAGCTTGCAAGATCATGCCACTGTAATCCAGCCTGGGCAACAGAATGAGATTCCCTCTCAAAAACAAAACACACAAAGGAATATTACTCAGAATGGCTACCTCATACATCACCCAATTCTATAAGTTAACCACAAAGAGGCTTTCTACTTAGCTTTTCTTTTCTTTTTTTTTTTGGATCACCTGAGGTCAGGAGTTCCAGACCAGCCTGACCAACACGGTGAAACCCTCTACTTAGCTTTTCATCTTGCATCTTACATTCTTTTTTTCTTTACAAACAGCTCTGGGCATGGACCATCTTACATTTTAATGTCCATACTTGCCCATAAGAGATGTCCTAAACAATAACCACCTAATAAAAAGAGTCTCCCAAATCTTTGGTGCAGCAAGAATTGATCACATGCTTTTATATGTGAATACAATAGAAATGAAGAAATAGCATGAAGTAATTGAAACTTGAATTCCATCATTTTTCAGTTTCCAAACTATCTATCTATCTATATATATATTTTTTGTTGTTGTTGTTGTTTTTCCTTGAGACACAGTCTTGCTCTGTCACCCAGGCTGCAGTGCAGTGGCAAAATTTCAGCTTACTGCAGCCTCCACCTCACAGGTTCAAGTGATTATCATGTCTCAGCCTCCCAAGTACCTGGAACTACATGTGTGCACCACCAAGCCCAGGTAATTTTTGTATTACTTTTTAGTAGAGGTGGGGTTTTACCATGTTGGCCACATTGGTCTTTCACTCTTGACCTCAAGTGATCTGCCCACCTCAGCATCCTAAAGTGTTGGCCTTATAGATGTGAGCCACTGTGTCTGGCCAAAAAAAAATGTATATTTCCAAAAAAGAAAAATAAGTATACTAAATATAACTCTTCAAAGATTTTTTTTTTTTCAGACGGACTCTCTGTCACCCAAGCTGGAATGCAGTGGCATGACCTTGGCTCACTGCAACCTCTGCCTCCTGGGTTCAAGCAATTCTCCTTTCTCAGCCTCCTGAGCAGCTGGGATTACAGGCACCTGCCGCCACACCCAACTAATTTTTGTAGTCTTTAGTAGAGGTACATTTTCACCATCTTGGCCAGGCTGGTCTTGAATTTCTGACCTTGAGATCCACATGCCTTGGCCACCCAAAGTGTTGGAATTACAGGTGTGAGCCTCGGAGCCCGACCAAGATCTAGTTCTTTTAAAGTTATATACAAATAGGTTTTCTACCAACTTTATTTTTGGATTTTTTACTATACTCAGCAATTCGATTTAGTGTAATGTCTAACGTTTGAGAGACAGATATTTCTACTGTGAATTCCCTGATACTTACATGAACTTAATATTGGATTAATTTTTTTAATATTTACTATATCCACAAAAATATATTTTAGTATAAACTCTCTGGTGTTTTATAATCTGTAGTTTTTGAAAAAATATTTTTCCAAATTATATAAATTCCCTGATGTTAAACAAAGTTGGAACAACTGCCTCAGGGGTTTCCTTTAGTACCAAATGTCAACAATAAAATCTGTGATACAAGTAAAAGTACCACAACCCTCTGTATATTTGTAGTGTTTGTCTTCGGAATAAACATTCTTCTGAACCTTAAGGGCTTATATTTCTGAAAGATCTTTTGAGACTAATTGTATTTTTAATGCTTTTATTTAGCATAAACTCTCTGATGTTGAATGTGGGCAGATATTGACTTTCACACTTCCTTTTTTTTTTTTTTTTTTTTTTTTTTTTTTTTTTTTTTTTTGACAGAGTCTCTACCTGTAGTCCAAGCTGGAGTGCAGTAGTACAACCTTGTCCAAGTGCAAGCTGTGCCTCCTAGATTCAAGCAATTCTCCTGTCTTGGCCTTCAGAGTAGCTGGGATTACAGATGCCTGCCACCATGCCTGGCTAATTTATTTGCATTCTTAGTAAAGATGGGTTTTCGCCATGTTGGCCAGGTTGGTTTTGAACTCCTGACCTCAAGTGATCTGTCCATTTCAGCCTCCCAAAGTGCTCAGATTTCAGGCATGAGCCACCACCATGCACAGCCTACACTTTCTTTATATTTGAACCTTTGTTCTCAAGTATAAATGCTTTCCTGTGCAATAAGGTGTAAGCATTGGTTAAATATTTTGCCACATTGTTCACACTAGTAGTTTTCTCCAGTCAATCAAGTGTGACAGCCATTTAAAAGCTTTATCACATTCTTCACATTTCTAGGATTTCTCATCAATATGATTTCTTTTATACTTAGAAAAGTTTGAGGTGTTGCCAAAAGCATTGTCACATCTTTCAGGTTTGTAGAGTTTCTCTAGTATAAATCATCTTATGTCTGTTAAGAATTGAGGATCTGTTGGAGGCTTTCCGACATTCTTCACATGTGTAGGGTTTCTTTCCAGTACGAGTTGTCTTATATGTAGCAAACCTCAAGGACTACTTAAAGGCTTTGACACATTCCACACACTTTAAGGATTCCCTCCAGCATGAATTACCTTATGTTTAGTAAGAATTGAGGAACAGTTAAAATGTTTGCCACCTTCTTCACATTTCTAGGGTTTTCCCTCCAATATGAATTCTTTTATGATGAGTAAGGGTTGATGACCAGTTAAAGGCTTTGCCACATTCTTTACATTTGTAGGGTTCCTCTTCAGTATGAATTACCTTATGTCTAGTAAGAAGTGAGGACTTTTTAAAGACTTTGCCACATTCTTTACATTTGGAGGGGTTTATGATTTCTCTTATGTTCACTAAGGCTTGAGGGCCAGGTGAAGGCTTTGCCACATTTTTCACATTTGTAGGGTTTCTCTCCAGCATGAATTATCTTACATTTAGTAAAAATTGAGAATTGATTAAAAGCTTTGCCACATTCTTCACATTTGTAGGATTTCTCTCCAGTAGGAATTCTCTTATGCATAGTAAGGGTTGAGGACCGGTTAAAAGTTTTGCCACATTCTTCACATTTGTAGGGTCTCTCTTCAGTGTGAATTACCTTATGTCTAGTAAGAAGTGAGGACTCTTTAAAGGCTTTGCCACATTCTTCACATCTGTAGCGGTACTCTCCAGTATGATTTCTCTTATGTTCACTAAGGCTTGAGGCCCAGGAGAAAACTTTGCCACATTCTTCACATTTGTGGTGTTTCTCTCCAGTATGAATTGCCTTGTGTGTAGTAAGGCTTGAGAACTGGTTAAAGGCTTTGCCACATTCTTCACATTTGTAGGGTTTCTCTCCAGCATGAATTAGTTTCTGTTTAGTAAAAATTCCAAATCGATTAAGAGCTTTGCCACATTCTTCACATTTGTACGGTTTCTCTCCAGCATAAATTCTCTTATGTTCAGTAAGTCTTGAGGACCAGTTGAAGGCTTTGCCACATTCTTCACGTTTGTAGGCTTTCTTTCCAGTATGAATTCTCTTATGATAAGTAAGCGTTGAACAATTAAAGGTTTTGCCACATTCTTCACATTTGAAGAAATTCTCTCTAATATAAATTCTTTTATGTTGAGATAGGTGTGAAAGCATGCAAAATGATCTGTCATATTCTTTACATTTCAAAAGTTTCTTTCCAGTATGCCCTATCTTATGTCTGTTTGAACTTGAAAATTTATGGAAGACTTTGGCATATTTATCACATTGAAATACTTTGCTCTGTGCAGTTGTCAAACTCTGGTTATGATTATTATAACCTTTTTTGTGAACTTTAGACTCATCCACATTGGTGCAACAAATTTTTTTTTTTTTTTTTTT